CTCAATTATTCATCTGCTCATACTTTAACTGATTCCTCTACATCCATTCACTCTTTCTTACATTTTCATTCCTTACATCTTCATTTTATGGGTAAGAAATGGTGAAAACAAAGTTTAATTTTGATTCCTGTAAAATTAGGATATTTAGACAGAAATGTTTGTCTTTCTACTCAGTGTTATTTGTCTATTCCTTTTGTAAAAAGTCCTACTAGTTTTAGCAAAATGCAGTGAATTTACTTAGAGCAGCAGTACAAAGATAAAATTCAAATCCCTTATAACAGGCTGTACCTTGTTCAAAGGCTGTCAGACTCTTATGATTATAACAGCTCCCTAATTACTTTCTGTCTAATCTACAAACACGGGCAGGAACACATTTCTTTGGATTCTTCATCAAACTCCCGTTGACAGGAGTTAGAAGCAGCTTAGCGTCTCAGCAGATTTCTTTAGCGGCAGGGAGGTAAATAATCTTTTGATTTCCATCGGGAGCTTTTTCTTGGATCAGTCTAACATTTACTTTCAGTCCATTTCTGGTTTAATTTTGGGCTGTGGACTCCCTCTGTTAAAAAAAATAAATAAGGCTCTTATTTGTAGAATTTCCACTGACACATGGCGGCTTGTGTGTTTTCTTTTTGATTCAGAGCTCTAAGCACATCGATGAGTCATCCATCACTTTCATAAACTAACAGAACATTTTGTAACGGCTAATTTGACAGAAGAACACTCTAAATTTGAACATGGATATAAAAGTAGCTAATATATTAAAGCATACAAGCCAAACCCACTGCTTTAGAGGGAATATTAAAATAGGTAATTTATAAGCTTTTTATTTAGTCCATATCAGCCCTTTCATTATATAAGCTCACATATTTCAACGGTTCAATTTGGTAATTATGATGTTCAGCTATAAGAAAAAACAAAATTGTTTTTTTTACAGCATTTGATTGTTAACTTAAAACAAAAAATACTGTTGTTTTAGTATCTAAATACTATATTTTGAGCTTCACACAATAATTGAGAAGTCTGCTGATTTGAAAGGTGTCCATCAATCAGTCACTTCTCCCAAAAAGTCAGCTTTCTCAAGCTGCAGCACTCATTTCACTGTGCAAAATGTGAATGTTTTTAGGTAAAAAAAACAAACAAAAAAAAAAACGTCTCAACGTCTCATTTCTACTCTGTCCAAAGCAGGACAGTGAAGTGCTGTTTGCATTTGGCTGTTCTACTGAAACCTCTTTCCCACTGAAAAATATTGGGTTAAAGCGTGTTTTTCAAACATGGGTCGACCCGCTACCAATTGGCATTTGGATCTCTTCCCATAGGCAAAAAAAGCCGGTCTAACCCTTCTCTGGCAAGCTGCATGGCCTCTGTCCCTCTGGCGCTGCGTGTCTAGTGACACCATCACACTGGGGTAGCGTTGATGATGTCACCAGTGCGACAGAAATCAGGAAAGTAAACAATGGAGAGCATTTTGTAAGGAAGCCAGGGCGTAGTCAGTGTCCTTTATCATTTCGCTCTATTATCTGTCCGACTCCCTCTTACCAGAGCTGCGGCATGTTTATCGAATGTAAACAGAGTTGTTTTGGCTTGTTAGACTAAAAGCCACTGGCGCTGTGTGTTGACCCTTATACGTAGCGCTCAATAGTATCACCTAAATTAGCAGGTCAACCCGGCTCTGGTGTTCTCTGTCTCTCAGCTGAGTCGACTCGGTCCATTGCCGAGTCGTTTGACCGGGTTAGACATGCATCAGTGAGCTTCTCCCATTGCCACTAAATGCTGATTGTTCCCGGGTTTAAACTGTTTTTTGGCCCAGTTTGAAAGAGGTATTGCATACACTGCAAAAACAATCTAGAAATAGGTAAAGATTTCTTAAATTAAGTGTATTTACTCTTAATTTGAGTAGGTAAGTCAGAGAATTTGCCAATGGAATGAGTATTTTTATTCCTAAAATAAGATAATTAGTTAAAACTCACTTGAAATAAGACAATGCAATAGTTTTTTCTCATTTTAAATGTAAATTGCCTTGTTCCATTGGCAAAGTGTCTCCCTTACCTCCTCAGTTCAAGAAAAAATACATTTATTTTAAGAAAAAATGACTTATTAAGATTTAAATTTTTTGCAGTGTATAGCCTCCTACAAATCTCAGGTTTTTTTGTTTTGTTTTTTTCATTTTAACTGGGCAAAATCCAAAAAAGTAAACTAATACCAATAATTAAAAATAAGCCATGCAACTTGCTATTATCGCAGGTTTGTTTTACTAATATAGGTCAGCATGGACATAGATGTTGGACGCACAGATCGTCAGTGTACCATACTTTGTACCGGTATGTCCATTAGAGACAATCCCCTATATCAAACTCTTTAGTTACAGCTGAAGTCTCTACCTGTCGAATTACATTTATTTCCCTCCTCCTCCATCTTCAGTCCTCATCTCACTGTCTCAGTTTCTCCTCTGGTTTGATTTCACTTCCTAACTTTCGTGCTTGTTCCTTTCTTTCCTCCTGCTCTTTTTACGGTAAGATTTGATCAGACCTGACAGTCTTGGTGTTTTTTTGCACCAGTGGGTTTGCTGTGTCAGTAATGCTCCAAGCTCTGAAAATCATCCTGAACTCTTTAGTTTAGCTTTCATAGCTTGGGTTGTGAAGAGTTATGATCAAAGAACCACAAATTGCTCCGGACAGTTGGTTTCAAAGTAAAACCAGCACACATTTTTCTGACTGACAATTCATTTAGAGTTGACTTAACTCCAGCTGAGACTGTCTCTATAAGGAGGTAAAATAAAGAGATTTTACAGATAAGAAGTTACACCAGATTTGTAGGCAGTTTGTATTAAGCAGGGGGTAATAGAGCAGCCAAAAGATGACTTATTCTTCTTTGTTGAGGCAGAACCGCCTTTATGTCACAGGAAAAATAAAAATCCTCCCTGCTTTCTGGCTAATTTTTTTTTTTTTTTGTATCAGTGCTAAATGCTGAATCAGACCTCAGGTTATAAAAACAGCACATTATAAGAGGTTTTGTTCTTTTAAAGTCTGATCAAACACCTATAATTTAGAAAAACATTTTGTCAATCTTTATATAAAGAACTTAAGTTTCAAGCTTTTTTTTTGTCCTTTTGTTATATTAAGGTAATCAATATTAAAACTACTTTCTTTTAGTCAAATACATGCAAAGTTATATTTGTTATCACCTCAAGCAAGATCAGTCTTTTATATATATTTTTAAAATAAAGACAAATGTCTTTTAACTCAAGTATAATATCAGATCAACACAAATAGAATTCCACATTATGAATATAAAAGATGTTAATCTACATCCAAATAAATCCCCATTGTTTCAATAAATCCCCTTTCTTTTACATGTACAACGTGGAAAAGCTAAAATCCACCACTTTAAATAACTATTACTTTAAATAACATATCAAATTATTCACTTTTTAATTCAATTCAAATTCAGGAAAATGTGCAACTTATAAAATGACAAAGTAATGTACAGTTAATTCACAAACATTCAGTGATGCATACATGTATTGGTGTTGATCTCAAACAATGATATTTTAAGTCTTATGTTAGATTTGTATCTTTTAAAATTATGTTGGTAAATAATCTGAGCCTTTTTTTTTTTTTACTTTATTTTTGATAAGATTTTCCAGAATACAACACCACAACAAAAAAGAGGCAATATAAACATAATAAAAGGTGTTAATTAACATGTATATATAGAGAGAGAGAAGAAGAAAGGAAAATAAAGCAATCGAAATAAAGAGGTCACCAAGGGAGGGGTACGAAAATACAACACGGAAAAAAATGTAATTATGAACTGTTTTTAGGTGTATAGGTTACAGAGTATGTAGAGAGCCTTAAAGGAATAGTACACCCAAAACATGATTAGCCTTCATTTTCTACTCACCCCCATGCTGAACAACACTCTGGAGTACTTTTTTGATATCTCAAATGCATCTGGAGATCTGGGAGGCTTCTTGCTGTCTGCTGACATTCAAATAATGGAGGTCTATGGTGACCGAGACAGAAAGGTCCATAAAAGTCCACAAAAAACGTGTCAATATTCCTCCATACTGCTCGTCCAATGTATTCCAAGTGTCCTGAGTGGGTAGCATCCAGAATTTACTCGAAACGAAGTCATTTAGAATGTTTTTAGAGCATAAACAGTAGTGTATAGGATTTCCTGAAAGCGCGCACATGCGAGCTCACGACGCTACGGAAGCCGGCAGACCAAACCAGATGAAAGTGCGCATTCAGCGTCTGCTCTGCCAATAATGCAAGCGTAGAAGAAGAAATGTGCTGTTTACCTGTGCAAAGAAAGAAACAACGAAAGAAAAATGTCTGAGGACTTCAGTGTTGAGGAAGAGCATGAGTTCTTTGCCGAGCTGAATGCGCACTTTCATCTGGTTTGGTTTTGCCGGCTTCTGTAGCGTCGTGAGCGCGCATGTGCGCGCTTTCAGGAAATCCTATACACTACTGTTTATGCTCTAAAAACATTCTAAATGACTTCGTTTCGAGTAAATTCTGGATGCTGCACACTCAGGACACTTGGAATACATTGGACGAGCAGTATGGAGGAATATTGACACGTTTTTTGTGGACTTTTATGGACCTTTCTGTCTCGGTCACCATAGACCTCCATTATTTGAATGTCAGCAGACAGCAAGAAGCCTCCCAGATCTCCAGATGCATTTGAGATATCAAAAAAGTACTCCAGAGTGTTGTTCAGCATGGGGGTGAGTAGAAAATGAAGGCTAATCATGTTTTGGGTGTACTATTCCTTTAAAGAGTTAAACAGGTTAGAGTCCTGTGCAGAATTACCATGTCCTGCCAGACAGTACAGCACCAGACCTCTATTGATGATCCTCAACTTACTTTAGAATTCCTATAACATAATCTGAGCCTTTCTTAATTAGTGTTGATCTTCCTTAACAAGGAAGGCATGAAAAGTAAAAACCTTTTTATTATTTTCTTATATATTCACTGCTTAAATGTTTCTCTTTAAAGCTCTCCCCAACTGATAAGAGTCTGGAGTTCGACAGAGACTTTCGCATCAGGCACTATGCAGGGGATGTGGTGTAAGTATCTTAAAGTTTGCATTTATTTAGTGAAAGCTTTTACTGATGATTCATCCTCTTTTCCACTCTTCTATGTATTCATGCCTTAGGGCTACTGATAACTGAAACTACAGCCGAGTACATTAAGTTATTCCAGAAAAAGGTTCAGGTTATTGATGGCCGGGTCCTCTCAGATGTCTCTAAATAGATGTTTATAAAAGAGACTTTTAAAAACCATTTGGTTCTCTGTAGAGAGATATTTTCTTTGCAGCTTCTTTTCTTTCTTACCATTTGAGTACAAATGTTTGGTTTTTCTTTTTTGCTTTTATGACATACTGGTTCACCACTATAGATAAAACATATCTATGTATATCATTCATTTTAGTGAATCATTTCAGTAAGTAAAACTCATACTATTTAGAAAAATGGGATCCGATATATAAGTGATTTCTATCAGTCCGATTGCTGACATTAATTATACAGGTTACAGTGTATGGTGTGCACTAGTATAAAAAGTAAACTCTTTTATTTTTAATGGTGTTATTTGTAGATCACAATTTGAATTGCTTGATGTGACCTCATTTTAAGTCATCGCGGTCCCCGAACACACCCCAAGGCCATGATAAGGGCTCTAATGGAAATGTGTTGAGCCTATTTGTGACGGTTAAGTGTCTGGTACCCAGGGGAGCAAGCCCAGACTGGCAGCCTTGATTGACCTCAGTGCCACAGTTATATAAGGCAAGAGGCTAAGAGCTCCTCACTTCTCACTGTGTGGATTTTAGCGGCTTTATTTATGGAAGCTCCTTCAGTTACTCTGTGTATCATCTTAAGGTGTACATTAGCACCAGGCTTTCAGTGCAATGTTCCCACTTTGTATCGACAAGGACAATTTCTGTAATTAATGATGAAGTTAAAAGAGCAGCAAGTAGGACAATATGTATGAACATGAAAGTCAGCGATTTGTATTTACCAGGCTTTCCTTTTTACAGGTACTCAGTGGTGGGCTTTATTGATAAGAACAAAGACACTCTGTTCCAAGATTTCAAGAGGCTTTTGTACAACAGGTGACACACTTTTCAACACCTCCACAAGTTCTATAAATATAATTCTGTACACTTCAATTCAAAGATGCATCCAGGTCTACAGTCAATTTCCTTTAACTTGGTCTGCTCTTTCCCATTTTTCACAAGATTAACAAGTAGACAGACTCAATTAAAACTACATGGTCTGCAATGAATTAATCTCATTTTATTCGAAACCTATATTTCGACAAAATAAACAACCTTTTCAATTTAAAATAACATTTTTGCTACTAAATGTTTGTGTAAATAAACATAAGTACTGTAACAAAAATACTTATTTGTAACCCATTGTTTACTTTATTCAGCTATCAGATTCTTAAAAGTTCAATCATTTAGCCTTTTTTTTTTATTTTTTAGAAACACCTAAAACGCCTAACTTTTGCTGTAAATAGAAGTTAAAGTTTGTTTTCTAAAACTGAAAACAGAACATCTGTGCTTGGTGCAACGTGTGATGGTTTTTAAGCTTTAATACCCTAAAAGACCAACGCCTGTGATGCTGCTGGTGCATCAGATTTACAGATTTGTTAAAGTCCCGCCTCTTAATAAAACATATGTATATATATAGATAGATATAGATATATATATAGATAAAAAATGTTAACTGTTTAATTGTCCTTACATAGTTGCTAAATTTGAGAAAAAAATCTTACAAA